GACATGCTTAACAATGCTGATTTACATTGTCATGTCTATAAGATGAATATATGTATATTCAAACCAATTTTTTGTCCTGACGAGTGTTACAAAAAACGCTTGCGAATGAATTCTATATGTGTGTGTGTATGTGTGTGTACATGTATGTATGTGCATGTGTGTGTATGTGTGTGTATGTGTGTATGTGCATGTATGTGTGTGTACTAATTCTATTCATCTGGACGTTAATGAATTAATTCGTCTTCATTGATAGCTTTAAATTAGTTCAGTAAAAATAACAAGCTATTAGCATTTTCATTCCAAAATTTTGCATTAAATTTTACCGATTTCAAATAAAATAAATTTTGTAAAAATGAAAAAAAAGAGAAATGAATTTTGTAAAAATGAAAAAAAGAGAGAAATGAATTTTGTCCTATTAAAATCGATCATTTTCTTATCAACCAATCATTATCAAATTATAAAAATTTCTATTTTTTTTTTCCTCAGCAAAATTGTAATAATAAAAAAATGAAAATAACAATAAAAATCCGAATAAGTTAAAAATTTGGAGGAAAAAAAGAAAATTTTTTTTTTGAGCTTTCGAAGTATTAAACTTATTACTATCATTGTTTAGAATTAATTTAAAAAGTGATGCATGAAGAATGCTTCCTGTTTTCCGGAGGATACTACAATATTCAACTAGTATGATGACATCCGGAAATAAAGACAAAATTACCTGGTTGGACTAAGTTGTTCATGTTTCGGTTTAACATCCAATTGTCTGACATGTCGTAACAATGATAATCCTTTCCGTATCGATATTCGGAAATCTTCCTATAAATGAAATTAACATTAAAATCTGACTTATAAAATGGGAATTGAATTCTATATAGATATCCGGAAATCTTGGAAATAACCTTTATAGCATCACGTTCCGCAGTTTGCATCTCAAGAAGTCGTGCTGTTGTTTCAACATCATTAGGAAGTTCCGTTTCTTTCAGGCAACGGCCAAATTCGCTTAATGATTGAGCAATTACCGTTGCGGATGATTTCATCCTTTCGATATCCTAAAAATAAATCTAAGCGAAATAGTGGGAAAAGAAAAAATCAAATCATATTCATATTTATATAATTTATTTTTGAAATTTAAATAATTCTTAGGAAATTATTTGGTATATTTCTATACTTTCTTATTATCTATTAAAATAATACAAATTATTCCAAATTATGAAATTTTTATTTGAGAAAAATGGAAGAATTCTTTCAAATTTATGACAAAAAAATATAAAATTATTTAAATATCGAAAGTTATCCTATAAAATTTCAAAAAAAAAGAAAAAAAAATTAACGCTTTTGATGAAAGTATAAATAAAAATTGAATAAATTTGTAAAATTAATTCAATTAAATTAATTAGCAATGTATAAAATCATACAAAATTAAATCAATTAATAATATTTGACTAAACTGAAGAAACATTTTCAATATTGTCCTGAAAAAATTTAATTTTTGAAAGTACAAAAAAAAAACAAAAGAATAAGAAAGAAGGAAAATCATTAAATTCTAACCAATTGATAAATTAAACAAGATGATTTAATTACTTGCATGATGAAAATTCCACCCTCAAAAATATTTTTTTCCCATATATTAAATGACCATCGGTAAATCTTGATGGAAATTTGTGATAATAAAAATTTGAAAAATGAAGAAGAAAGAAGGAGTAATTACGTAGGTATGAATATATATATATATATATATATATGTGATGTAAAATGAAAATTAGTCCTAAAAAAGTTAACAAAAAAAAAAAGGAAAAATGCGAAAGAAATGTGAATGTCTCGAAAATTGATGGAACCTATTTTTACTTTCTATCAATTATTACCACTACTATTAATA